AAAAACAAAATACGACAAGAAGAAGCGTGAAAAAGTCTAAAAGCGTGAAAGTTGAGATCATTCTCCTCCCCCCCCCCCCCCCTCCCATAATAGAAGCCCCCGGGGCTTCTAAACTGTACATCGTCCGAAATTTTCGGAGGGGGCTTCTATTAAGTCCCAAATTTTTTCAATAGTTTTACATGTAAAAAAGATTCCAAAGAATTTCAGGGGTTATTGGGTTTTTTTAGAGTTTTCAAACGATTTTCCAGGAGGCTTTGAGATTTTTACGCTGGCATATAAGAAAATTAAACAAATTTTCATCTTAAGATCTTGAATTTCGACGGTTTTGCGGTGAAAATACCAATAAAATTTTTCAAAAAATTTGTAAAAATAAGGGGGCTTCTAATACATCATTTATATAGATCTTTCAGGAGGGGGCTTCTAATAAGGGGAGGGCTTCTAATATGGGAGGGGCTTCTATTATGGGAGGGGGTTTAGTGTGCTTTTGCTTTTCGAAAAAAGCAAAATTCAACAATTTTTGACATTACGAAGAAAAAGAATTATTCTTGTACCAAAAATGGTTTTTCGCATTGTTGAAAATTGGTTAAATTGAGTTTTGTTTTGTTTTTGAAAAGAAAAAGCACTCTAGTAGAATGATCTTTACTTTCTACATTATAGAATTTTTCACGCTGCATCTTAGTGTATTCTGTTTTTTTTAATAACACATATTAGAAATTGGAAAATAAGATAGAAATATGGCAATTTATCATAAAACACCTGTTACTTTATGCGACCATGCGAAAAAAGTCTTCTCTTAGTTCTAGCTTATGTATCTTCCTTACAGCTTGCACTAGAGTTATGCAAATTTAGGATAATATTCATCTAGTCAGAAAATATTATATATCCTACTTTGAGCATTTTTATTTTGTAATAAGAGAGAAAGAGAAATTTTTCTATAAGGTACCAAGTCTTTTGGCTCATTCTTTATTATTTGAAGAATTGGTATTCGAATCGATAAATGATAATTAGTTGCTTGTGAATTACCTTATTATCTTTATTCATGGAATAATAAATAATAATTAGGATGAATGTACTTATGTTTAATCACATGGAGGAAATAGAAATGATGTTGATCAACAATATTCATTATATGATCTTAATGGAAAATTGTTTTAAGAATTTCTACCTTTAATAAGATAATCAGCAGCCACGAAAGTAAAATTTGATTTAAATGATAAAATCATGGTTGCATGTAGTTGTTTAAATTTCCATTTAAATGGTTTTCTCTTAATTTAAGTCCTAATTGAAGTATTGATAAAGCAATCTAATGCATTAAATTTGTGAATTTTATAGTCTGGAGATAATAATGATAATAAACGTGTTAAACACATTATTACTGAATCAATTAAATCAATATGAGAAAATGATTTAAGTGCTTTAACAAGTATACGTAATGAAGCTTTTATTTCACCATCACTTGTTGTTTTTGATATACAACCATAAACAATACTTAAAAGAAAACAGAAAAGTTAAAAGAAAGATTTTTTTAAAAATGTTTATTACATAGTTCTTAGTTGTAAAGCTGGATTAAATATTGGAATGAAAAGCAAAGAAATTGAACCAATAGTTCAATATGTATTATTAAACAAACACACTAAGACACCTTATTTGTTTTTTTTTATGTACTTTTGAAATATCTGTAATATATTTAAAGCACTTAACTGTAATGATTGAAAACAAAAATTTACTTGATGATTATTTTATTAAATTTGTAATATCTTCATTTAAAAAACGTTTGTTTCTTTCGATATTGTAAACTACGATGTTTTATTCGATTTAATTATTTCAGTAATTATTTAATAACACTATAAAAGATTCACAATCAGGCAACAATATTAGATTTATTTCGAAATAAAATATGTTGTCATTTGAATATCGTGGATAAATATAATTAGTTTTTCTTTAATATTATTTCAACGAGATCAACTTTTTACAACTTTTGCTGCTGTTAAGCGACCTTTTGCAGTAAGAAGAACAGCTATTTCAATTTTATATTCAGAATATTCCCCTTAAAGACTGCAACATTTATATCACCAAAACTGAGTTCTAAGATATATATAAATTCATATTGTTTAAGAATAAAGAATAAAATAAGATAATATTGATTTATCTATATTATTGTTTTGTTTTAGTTATGTGAATGAGTGAGTAAAATTTTCATGTTTTGATATAATAGATTAGAAAAAATTATCTTTACTTGAACAATTAGAAGTTTAGTGTAAACATTCCTATTGTTTGCTTCATCTTTTTTTTTACAAAGAAATAATTAAACAACTTGTGTTAATCAAAAAAGAAATACAATCAGCGGCATCACTTTCTTGTTAATTTTGATCATATAATCATTCTGTCAAATGGTTTATATTATAACTAAGAAAAAAAAAGAAACAAAATCTTTCTTTGATTTTTATATTATTTCAAATAAAATATACCGTATTTGAAGAGCTTTACTTCAATTACGACAATCACTTTGTACAAGTAATCCACGAAGAGTTTGACCATCAGTTATATAAAAAATCTAAAACAAAAAAATCGATTAAT